CTTGTAAGTTATCTATTTTCTAAGAGAAGTACTATCAGAGAGGATAGGTTGGACCTATCTGGAAAGGGCGGCTGAACCATTCTAGGGTTTTCTCCCTTCTATTCTCTAGTGTTTACAGCAAACCCTACTGTTGGACCGAATTGCCTTAGGGTTCTTTTCTCCTACTCTAGGGTTTGAAAGTGATCTTGCGGCAAACCCTAATAAGCTTGCGGCAAGCCCTAATGTTAGACTGAACCTTGCGATTTACCTGGAGCTGTCCTCAAGTTTTGTTAGCATTGATCAGCTTTTAGGGTTTCATATTAACCCTACTGCAAGTCTATCTGTACGGTACTGATTGGAATGTGCAACTGAAATGTTTTCTTTAAGGATTGATTAAAACCCTAATTCTGCCATGCATATCAGACCTGCTTCTAAGCTGATTTTTCAGATCCTTTTGAGGTTTTCAAACTGCTGCTGTTGTGTTTGCTAGTTGGTTTCAGATCGGATTTATACCTGTTTTGTGCACATACACTGTGAATACAGATTGGTCCTACACTGTTTTGATTGTGATTGGTAGTCCAAGTGCTGTTTTTGAGACTTGACCGAGATGGAGTTTAAAAATCAGGCAGAAGGCAGTTTTTGGAACAACAATTATGGTAGTGTTTCAAAGACAGGTGGTCAGATTACAACCGTAAAGTTTGATGGATCAAACTATTTGGAATGGGCCCAATCAGCCGTGATGGCTATTGGTGGAAGAGGTAAATTACGGTACCTCTTGGGAGATGTGAAAGAACCCCCCAAGGGAGACCCTACGTATACCAAGTGGATCCAAGAAAACTACTTGGTTATGACATGGCTGTGTAATTCTATGCAGCTTCATATTAGCCGAAATTACTTGTGGGCAAAGACAACTAAGGAGATATGGGATGTTATGAAAGAAACTTATTCCCAACCCCCTAATGTTGCCAGAGCATATGAGTTGAAATATGAAGTGAAAATCTTAAACAAGGAGAGAAACCGATTTCAGTATACTTCTCTACCTTGCAGTCTCTGTGGCGTGAGATTGATCACTTAGAGACTCTTGAGTGGGAGAGTCCCAAAGATGCACAAGTATATAGAAAGCAGGTCGAGACAAACCGGGTGTTTGAGTTTCTAGCGGGCCTAAATTCAGAGTATGATATTGTGCGGCAACGGATTTTGACTAGAGATAGTGTAACTCTCTCTCAGGCATACTCCTTAGTACATAGTGAAGAGACCAGAAGGAAAGTTATGATGCAACCTCAGCCTCTCACACCARCCTTTGTAGCTGTCAAACCCAAATCAGGGGGTGATTCAGAGAAGGACAGGAGGAAGGAAGACAAAA